TCTTTATCGAACAAGCATTTCTGTGTAAACACAATGTTGTGACGAATTATATATACCACCATAAAAGAGCACGAGTTCTCATAAATAAACAAATATGTACATTCCAATAGAGCGTGCAAGCCGTGGGATACATAGAACAGTTTCAACTTGATTAACCCTGGCCACAGAGATATACATAATGACACAATGAGGCTCGCCTCGCTGGAGTGGAGTGTACCACGGCTTGTCTGCGATCCAAGATCGCACCGCTGTAGGAAGGGGATGCAAATACGACATTCTTCCACTAGCACGCTTTCTACTGGACCGGAAGCAGGAGAATGTGATCCACAGCTTCATCGTTGATGCCGTGGTGGTTTCACAGCATGTGCCCATGGCGGATGCATCCTATGGACAGTTCAACTCACTTATGCGAATGACCAAGGAGCATTAGTTCTCGCCGAACCTATCATTCTAGGATCACGCTGGGAGGACTTGGCAAGCCTCGAGTCTCCCTTCTTCGAGGAGGTGCGCGAGGTGGTGAGTGTTAAGAGTATATCGGCACTGGTTTGCATTTGGTAGTATAGGATTTATAATCTATCTACTACCTTATCTCTAGGAGAGGCTTCTTTCCTTCCAAGCCTTGTACACTATATAAACTGCCCGAGGGCTTAATAAAATACACACTGACTTCTGCCATATTCATTCTTACTCCCTCCGATCCAAAATAGATGACTCAACTTTGTACTAACTTTAGTATAAAGTTAGTACAAAGTTGAGTCATTTATTTTGGAATGGAGGGAGTACATGGTATCAACTGCAAGATCCTAAACCTAGCTCCACCAAAGCTTCCACGCCATGTCGCCCCAAAATAATGATCTGTATGATCTCCACCTGGGGCCGTGCAACCCGTAGCTAGGGTCCATCTGCTGATCAATTTCATTGGCTGTCTTTGAGTCTCTTTATTCCCATGGTCGGTTTTTCTCTTCGCCAATCGCTCCACAAGCAATTATTTTGGTTTGCCGACCATATATTAGATTGTGTCGCCGACTACTTCGACATTGGGGTCGTCCCTACACCGGTCAACTTGTCACAAACTCATGTGGATAGGGAGGCCATCAGCCGTCTCAAAGGACATCTAAGCCCTAAAGTGAGTTTGGTGTTGATGATACATTATTAGTTGGGATTATCGGGTGATCTATATGCATAGTCCCAAGAAAGGAAATG